CTAGGGATAAGACCTCTATTCAATCTGCCAACTCCCCATTCCATAAAGATAAAAGTTAAGACTATTTAGAACCTTTATTGTATTAATTCCAACAAGGAATACAGTCTCACAATTGTCAACAAGGGGTAAAAGTGTTCATATTTTTTCCATGTAAATACTGCCCTCAAGGGGAAAAAAAAATCATTATAAATCTAGTATTTCTAACTCTCTTATCCAGAGAGCTTTAAAAGAGTGTCCTGAAAATGTTACCCATAAAAGACTCTGGGTGGAATTATGATCAATGTCTTCTCATTAGTATTCTTCATGAAATGGATAATTGGGGTGGTCTTTGAAACTAGAAAGAAAAAGGAAAATGTTTATTCATTATTTACTATTCTAGCCTTGTGAATAGAAGCAGAGCTAAGAATCAAACCTATCACTTTATGACTCCATTGTTTGAATTCTTTCCATTATACAATACCATCTTTACTGTCATGATAGTGGTTATATGTTAAAATATTATCAAATACTAACACACCTGTGGGAATCAATTCATCAGCTGCTTTTATTCATTGCTTGGGCATACCTGCCTGACAGAAGGGCCAGAGGAAATGGAAATTTTAGTGGTAAGACAGAAAGAAGTAAATTTTAGATACCAAAAAAAGAATATCAATTGGATGCTTCAGACATTACATGACGTCCTTGACCTTGTATAGTGAAAGCAAGAGGGCTTGGTTTAAAGACAAGGGAAGGAAGGAAGGGAGAGGAACAAATCTTGCCTCGTTCTCCCCTCCCCACTCAAAAACTAGAGCCCTAGGGCATATTTCTCAAGCTTCAGCAGATCAGCTTCCTTCTCCTGGCATAGATGTGCATTGACCTGCCCCTCTGTCCCATACTTACAGGAAGCAATAGGAGACAAATTGAGATAAACACTTACTGTGCAGGCTCAGTATAACGAAAGTCTCTGTTGAGGCTATCAATGGTTTTCATGTCCTCAGGGGTCAACTGAAAATCAAACACCTACGAGAAATGAAAATATTTTACTTTATAAGACACAGCCTATCAGACTTTTCTACAGAAGTCTACCTGAAGGCAAATGAGATTCTATCCTTATCTCAGGAAAAATCTGGAGCCATAATAGCCTGTTGTGGTTTGTACAAAGGTCAGCATAACTTCAAAAAAAAAAAAAAAAAAAA